ATATTTATTGCATTTCCAATTGTTTCTTCATATTTCTTGCACTTCCAATTTATTTGTAAGGTTAATTGCATTTCCATTATTTTTATTTTGTTACTTGCATATCCAATATATTTTAAATATTTATTGCATTGCCATTTTTTTGTTAAATAGCTCATTCAAGCACAGATGTGGTTCGGTGCAACCGGGGGTGGCAAAAAAAATTTCACCCATCATGAATGTTGGGAGGTGGTGAAATATTGTAAACACTTCATAATTATTCCCACGGGTCTCGAAGTTGTGTTAAACGAGACGCCTCTCCGTGATTCAACGACATCGGATTCACCTCTCGATTCCCCTATGTGTGAAGACTCACCCATCCAAAAGGAACGGAGGCCCATTGGCCGAAAGGCTGCGAAGGCAAAGAAAGCGGGTAATTCAAGCAATTATAATTCAAAGTTTTTGGAGGAAATTGCAAGGCAAAACACCATAAGAAGTGAAATGGAGCAGAAACGCCAAGATATGGAGGTGGCAATTCAAGCCGAGTGTGCACGAGAAAAGGAGTATTTGCGCAAAAAAGATATGTAGAAGACGGATCGGGAAACCATGGCAATGGATACAAGTCATATGTCCCCTGAAACAAAACAATATTGGAAGCTAGAACGAAGGGATGTTATGAGAAGAAGACTTTTCCAGGATGATGGGCCTAGCAATACGGATTGGTTAAATGATCAAAACCATTAAATTAGTTGGCATACCTTTTATGTATTTTTATTTTTCATGTTTTCTATTAAAGTTGGTGTACTTCATGTATTTTATTTTAGTAGTAGTAATTCTTAATGACTTGTATTGGATTTCTTTATTTAATAAACAAAGCATTCAATAAAAGACCATTTTATTCAACATATTCCATACATCAAACAAAACATAATTAAAATTAAAACAAAAACTACAAACAAGGCACAATAATAAATACAAACAACACAACCAAACCACAACCAACCAACACAATCTTATCTGAAATTTTAAATTCATCCGAAATTTGAACCCAAATTTATCTGAATTTTGAATTTTGAAATTCATCCGAAATTTCAATTTTGAAATTCATCCGAAATTTGAACCCAAAAATTTATCTGAAATTTGAATTTTGAAATTCATCCGAAATTTGAACCCAAAACACTTATCCCGAAATTTTATCCGATTATGAATAGTCTTGACACGTAGGAACCCGTAAATCTTATCCGAAAATATTATCCAAATTAATTATTGAGGTAAAAAAAGTTGTGAATAAAACAAAAAAATGAATAGTAACTGCCCTTAGCAAGGGCAACGGGTGGAAACACAAAATTCTGATTTTGGTGGCTGTCCTAGCTCCCCCCCTTGCCATGGCTAAGAGCAAGTGGGTGGAGTTGCTCTTATATCTTAATGAAAATGGGCCTATTTTCAAGAAGTCCTAATATTTTTCCCAATATGTCATGCTTGCCTCAATTGGTTTTACTTATATTCGTTTTTATTATTCGTAAGGTGTTTTATTTTATAGAGCATCCCAACAAAAACATATTCGTTTTTATTATCCAATAATTATTATTAATTCCTGCACACAGAATAATAAAAAAATCATTAATTTTTAATTTTTTTTAATATATTCTGCAAAGGGACAAACGACAAACATATGCTGCAATCTGGCCTATGGTCGGTCGAGGGTCATTTGAGATTACAAAAGATAAGCCACAAAGAGAAGTTACTCATTCTGCATTTGTGCTGTAAGCCAATAGTTCCATCCCTTCCTTATATATACATGAGTATACCATACTTGCCGAGCAAAAAAGATCAGACATTTTTACACAATTACAAATCATGGCTCTAGAAGCTGGTTCAACAGCTCAATCACGAAATTCTAAGGCTGATCAAATTGTTCGACGGACAGCAAATTTCCACCCGAGCATTTTGGGGGATCAGTTTATGAATTATGATTCAGAAGACATTGTAATTTATATATCATACAGATTGTTTCAATAACTAAATGCATGTTTCTCTGTTTTGTTTCAAAAGAAATTTGACATGTATTTTGCTCATTCAATTTTGTGGATGCAGATAACTTATGCCGATAAGCAGCAAGAAGTTGAAGAATTGAAACTAGCAGTGAGGAGGGAAGTGTTCACAACCAGTGCAGATGATTTTTCAAATCAGATGAAGCTCATTGATGCAATCCAGCGCCTCGGCGTGGCATACCACTTTGAAAAGGAAATAGAAGAAGCACTGGAACATATATATGCTGGAAATCATTTCCATGATGATGATGGTGATGGTGACCTATACAATGTTTCCCTTGGTTTTCGGCTACTAAGACAACATGGACATAATGTTTCATGCAGTAAGTTATTAGAGAAATTAATGTAACGAGATTGAATTTGGCCAAAATTATTTCTTAATATTTATGTGTTATGTGTCCATTTGCTGCAATCGAGCAGGAATATTCAACAAGTTCAAAGATAGTAAAAATGGAGACTTCAAGGAAAGCTTAATCGCTGATGTGCCGGGAATGCTAAGCTTTTATGAAGCAACGCATCTGAGGGTGCATGGAGAAAATATACTAGAAGAGGCTCTTGTTTTCACGACAAAACATCTGGAGTCGGCAACAACCCATGTAAGCTATGAACTGGCAGAACAAATAGCTCAAGCCCTAGAGAGACCGCTCCGAAAGAGTCTCGAGAGGTTATGCGCCCGTCGGTTCATGTCCATCTACCAAGATGAAGCTTCACATAATGAAGCTCTATTAAAACTTGCCAAGTCAGATTTCAATCTTGTTCAGTCTTTGCACAAACAGGAGCTCAGTGAGATTATTAAGTAGGTTATCTTTTAATTATGTGAGATTAATTACGAGCACCGACTGTAATTAAGTTAGTAACTCACTAATTAATGTCGTCGATTAGGTGGTGGAAAGAACTAGACTTTGGAAGGAAGCTGTCTTTTGCAAGAAACAGAATCGTGGAGTTATACTGCTGGATTTTGGGGGTCTATTTTGAGCCCCAATACCTTGTTGGAAGAAAATTTCTCACAAAAATGATTGCCCTGATTTCTGTAATGGATGATATCTATGATGCATTCGGTACATTTGAAGAACTTGAGATCTTTACCGAAGCAATTCATCAAAGGTTTGAAATTATTTATTAAAAAAAATTGTTTTGTTTATATGCTTCAGATGAATATGGTGTATGCAATTTACAGATGGCATGCCAATTGCATGGATGGACTGCCAGACTACATGCAAATATTCTTCCATGCGCTTTTGAATGTTTTCAATGAAATTGAGGAGGAGATGGTGAAGGAAGGAAGAGCATACCGAGCTCACTATGCAAAAGAAGCTGTATGTTAATTAATTAAAGAAACACACCGCTTATTAATTTTCACTATTTTAATTAATTTACATAATATTTATGTCCCACATATGCAGTGGAAAACTATTGCCAAAGCTTACTTTGATGAGGCCAAATGGTTCCACGAAGGATGCATCCCCAGCATGGAGGAATATATGCGTGTTGCTAGAGCATCTGCTGGGCACACCACACTTACAACTATGTCTTTACTTGGCATGGGAGACATTGTAACCGAGGAGTCCTTTGAGTGGTTGTTGAATGACCCTAAAATTCTTAGAGCTTCCAATACCATTGGTAGGCTCATGGATGACATTGTTTCGAGCAAGGTACAAAAGTAGCTATTGGAGTTCACTATTACATGATTCTCACTTTAATTAGTCTCTGAATTCAATTCTTAAATTTTATAGTCCTTACACGCATTCAGTAATGTGTCCGCTTTGGTCCTTCCATCAAATTTTATTAATTTTTCTATATTTCTTTATTGTCAAAAATATTTGCTCACACCATATATTTTTACCCTGCTTCTGACACTAGTACAAAATTGGTCGTAGGACACTGTTTTATTTTTGTGCTCTCTGAGTGGTTTTTGTGATCTGACTTTTAAAAGCACAAATATTTGTGCTTACAATTACTTGTCGATTTCCCTTATAGGGTTCCTATTGCTTATGATAGAGCACAATTAATCCCTTTTCTTACTTTTACTCTGACAAGCTGGATTAGACTCTTTTTTATAACCACTCTAACCACAATTCTCAAATCCAAAACCGCTTTGCTTCTCCGACCAAAACCACGGTAGAGTTTAGAGTTACAATTCACAAATTTTGGATTATATTTTTGCAGTTTGAGAAAGAGAGAGGGCATGTTGCTTCTGCCATTGATTGTTACAGGAAGCAATATGAGGTGTCAGATGAGCAGGAAATAATTGATGCCTTCAACAAACAGATTGTGGATTCGTGGAAAGATACCAACGAGGAGTTCCTCAGACCAACCTCTGTGCCAATGCCTATCCTTGTACGTGTTCTTAATTTAACAAGAGTGGCGGATCTTGTCTACAAAAAAGATGATGGCTACACTCATGTTGGAAAAGTCATGAAAGATAGTGTTGCTTCTTATTTCATTGATCCGGCACCACCATGAGCCTATGAGTTTGGACTGTCTGTATGAGAAAGAAGTGTTGGGAAAGATTGCGAAAAATCAAAGAGCCAATAAATAAATATGGCACTTCTAGGATCTGACTTCTCCCAGCCTTGTGTAAATAAAATGGACAAAATTAACACTCTATCTTCCACTAAGAAAAATAATGGGAATACAAAAATAATCTCACCAAACACCGGTGGCTAAACTCTCTCTTGGTTTTTCTCTCAAGAGGATCTTCTCTCTCACACAAGTGAGGTTTTCTTATCTCTCAAAACTCTCTATGTTTTGGTTTTCTAAAGGATGATTTGAACTAAAGGAAGGCAGCTGTTTTTATAGCCAACGTTCTTGACAAATTGGTGGCCTTGCATGCGAGAGAGTTTTTCTCATTTTCTCTTCCGTTCGTTTTCTTCAAATTTTCCTGTCCTTTCTTTTATTTTATTTTAATATTTATTTTCCTTCTTTTTCTCTCCTCCACTAACGAGGGAAACCCATCAATCTCCCCCTCCCGACTTAGGTGGAGGGCTCCAGCAGTCTAGCTGCTCTTCTGCAAAATTCGTACTTGTCCTTAGGTAAGGACTTGGTCATCATATCTGAACTATTGTCATCAGTATGGATTTTCTCAAGCTGTAATTGCTTTGACTCCAACACATCACGTATCCAGTGATATCGCACATCAATGTGCTTCGACCTTGAGTGAAAACTCGGATTCTTGCTTAAGTGGATCGCACTCTGACTATCACAATGCAAAATGTATTTATGCTGCTCTTGTCCTAGTTCTTGTAGGAATCGCTTCATCCAGAGCATTTCTTTGCATGCTTCAGTAGCTGCAATAAACTCTGCCTCTGTAGTTGATAGAGCAACACATTTCTGTAACTTTGATTGCCACGAAACTGCTCCCCTTGAAAATGTAATCAGGTATCCTGAAGTAGATTTTCTGGAATCAAGATCTCCTGCCATGTCTGCATCTGTGTAGCCAATCAATTCAGGTTTTCCACCTCCAAAGCATAAACTCATTTTGGAGGTACCCCGAAGATATCTGAGAATCCATTTCACTGCATTCCAATGCTCTCTGCCTGGTTTAGATAGGAATCTGCTTACAACGCCAACTGCGTGCGTTATGTCTGGCCTCGTGCAAATCATTGCATACATTATACTACCAACAGCTGAGGAATATGGCACCATAGCCATGTTTTCTTTTTCTTTCTCACATGTGGGACTCTGTTTTGAACTAAGCTTGAAGTGACTAGGAAATGGAGTAGAAACTGGTTTTGCTTTATCCATGTTAAACCGCTTTAGTACCTTCTCGATATAACTTTCTTGTGATAACCTCAACTTCTGATTTTTTCTATCACGGGATATACTCATACCGAGGATTCGTTTTGCGGGTCCTAAGTCTTTCATAGCAAAAGACTTGCTCAACTCTTTCTTCAGCTTGCTAATCTTGTCACTGTTTTGTCCTACGATCAACATGTCATCGACATAGAGAAGAAGTATGATGAATTCACCATCATCAAATCTTTTCACAAATACACAATGGTCTGAAGTAGTCCTTCGATATCTGTGTTCAATCATGAAGGAATCAAACTTCTTGTACCATTGTCGAGGAGCCTGCTTGAGTCCATATAAGCTCTTATTTAGCCGACATACCAAATCTTCTTTTCCTTTGACTTTAAATCCTTCTGGCTGCTCCATGTAGATTTCTTCTTCAAGATCTCCGTGAAGAAAAGCTGTCTTCACATCTAGTTGTTCGATCTCGAGATTCAGGCTTGCAGCCAAACCGAGTACAACCCGTATGGATGACATCTTCACTACAGGTGAGAAAATCTCTTCAAAGTCAATTCCTTTCTTCTGACTGAAACCTTTCACAACTAGCCTTGCCTTAAACCTTGGCTTAGAGTTATTTTCTTCCGTCTTCAGTCGATACACCCATTTGTTCTTGAGTGCTCTTCTACCTTTTGGTAGGTTCACTAGATTATATGTGTGGTTCTCATGCAGAGATTGCATCTCTTCATGCATGGCTTTCAACCACTCATCTTGTTGATCATGAGTCAATGCTTCTTCATAGCATTCTGGTTCTCCCCCGTCTGTTAGGAGAACATAATCATCTGGAGAATACCTACTCGGAGGTCTCCGTACCCTGGTCGATCTTCTTGGTTGGAATTCGGCCACTGGCCCTTCATGGGCTTGTGCTTCTAGCCCCTCATCAGCTACATCATCTACTATACCATCAGTTATATGATCATCACTCGTGTCATCATCAACTGGTTCATTTATAATAGGATCACTAGCTGGATCATCAGTATCATTGGATTCATCTCGCTCGTCATTGTGCTCCAATGGAGGAGGAACTGGATCCAAGTTAGCTGGATATTCTCTAGGACTATCAGGTTTATCACCTCTTCGAATGTCTTCAATGTTCTTATCTTCAATGTTCTGATCTTCAAAGAAGACAACATCTCTACTTCTAATAATCTTTCTAGCTACAGGATCCCATAACCTATAACCGAATTCTTCATTCCCATATCCCACGAAGATACATTCTTTCGACTTCGCGTCGAGCTTGAATCTCTCGTCTTTAGGAATATGAACAAAAGCTCTACAACCAAAAACTTTTAAATGATTGTAGGAAACGTCTTTTCCTGACCAGAACTTGTTTGGGACATCACCATTCAAAGGTGCTGAAGGAGAAAGGTTGATTAGATCAACTGCAGTCATCAGGGCTTCACCCCAAAAGCTTTTGGGTAGCTTGGCATGAGATAACATTGTTCTTATTCTTTCAACAATTGTTCTGTTCATTCTCTCAGCTATGCCATTATGCTGAGGAGTCTTCGGAATAGATCGTTCATGCCTGATTCCATTACTTCTACAGTAGTTTCTAAACGCCCCCATATATTCTCCTCCGTTATCGGTGCGAATACATTTCAAGCTCCTACTAGTCTCTCGTTCAACGCTAGCATGAAACTGTTTGAAAACTTCATACACTTGATCTTTTGTTCTAAGTGCGTAAGCCCATACCTTCCTAGAATGATCGTCAATGAAGGTAACAAAATATCTTGCACCACCAAGAGTATTAGTGGTCATAGGACCACAAACATCAGAGTACACAACATAATACATTCGGTTTTCTTTGTGCATGACCATGTTGAAACGAAGCTCTATGCTGCTTTCCAGCCAAGCAATGCGTGCATGATTTTAGAGGCATGCATTTCTTCATCCCAGTCAATGCCTCTCTTTTGGCAAGAATTTGTAGCCCTTTCTTGCTCATGTGACCGAGCCATTTATGCCATAGCTCAATCGAGTCTTCTGCGAGAGCATTTACGTACCCATTACTGACTTTTGCATGTGTCATGTATAGGGTGTTTTCCTTCTTCCCTCGTGCTAGGACAAGAGAATTCTTGCTGAGTTTCCATTTCCCTTCAGCAAAGACATTGGTGTATCCTTCATCGTCAAGTAATCCAGTGGAGATTAGATTGAGACGCATGTCTGGAACATGTCTCACATCCTTGAGGACCAAGTGACAACTTGTGTTGGTTTCAAGGGAAATATCTCCTCTTCCCACGATCTTAGACAATTTGTCATTTCCCATCCGCACATTACCAAAATCTCCATTAGTGTAAGATGTAAAGAAGTCCCTTCTTGAGGTGACATGAAATGATGCACCAGAATCCATTATCCAGCATGTATCTTGAGAGGAAAAATTAACGAAGCCATCACCACATAGAATAATTACCTCATTTCCACCAGAGGTAGTTGCGGTCGTGTGCCTCGCATCACTCTTTTCATTACCTCTATCTTGCTCTCGTTTAAACAACCTGCACTCTCTCTTCATGTGGCCTATCCCACCACAATGGTAACATTCTAGGTCCTTTCTTGTCTTGGACCTTCCTCTCGAGCCATCTCTTGACCTGACCTTTGACTTGTCTCGCCTGTGGAATTTTCTATTGTTAGTTCTTCCACGATACTCTGAGACGAGGGCTTCTGACTCGGCTACAACACTTTGTTCTTTCCTCCTTGCTTCTTCATTGAACATGCTATCTTTAACTATGTCCAATGTAAGAACACCTTGAGGAGCTGAATTGCTTAAGGATACTACTAGTGTATCCCAGCTATCAGGCAAAGAGCTGAGTAACACTAGTGCTTGTAACTCATCATCAAGGACCATCTTCATATTCATCAACAGGTTGATCAAACCTTGGAAGTCACTAAGATGCTCGGTAACACTTCGACCATCTCTGTACTTAAGGTTTACCAACCGTCGGATAACCGATGCCTTATTTTGAGCGGTCTTTCGCTCGTACATGGACGACAATTTTGTCCATAATTTGTATGCATCCGTCTCTTGTGCCACATGGTGGAATACACTTTGATCCACCCATTGTCGGATTTGTCCGACAGCTTTTCTATTCATAATGCTCCATGCATCGTCTGACTTCCCTTCTGGTTTTTGTCCCAGCAATTGAAGGGGCTCATACAAATCCTTGCAGTAAAGGATGTCCTCCATTCTTGGCTTCCAAATGGAGTAATTGGATGCAGTTAATTTTAACATTGTTGCTGATGATGATGACGATGACTCCTCCATCTTAAATTACACAAGAATATAATTTTTTTTTTAGCCGAAGCTCTGATACCACTTGTTGGGAAAGATTGCGAAAAATCAAAGAGCCAATAAATAAATATGGCACTTCCAGGATCTGACTTCTCCCAGCCTTGTGTAAATAAAATGGACAAAATTAACACTCTATCTTCCACTAAGAAAAATAATGGGAATACAAAAATAATCTCACCAAACACCGGTGGCTAAACTCTCTCTTGGTTTTTCTCTCAAGAGGATCTTCTCTCTCACACAAGTGAGGTTTTCTTATCTCTCAAAACTCTCTATGTTTTGGTTTTCTAAAGGATGATTTGAACTAAAGGAAGGAAGCTGTTTTTATAGCCAACGTTCTTGACAAATTGGTGGCCTTGCATGCGAGAGAGTTTTTCTCATTTTCTCTTCCGTTCGTTTTCTTCAAATTTTCCTGTCCTTTCTTTTATTTTATTTTAATATTTATTTTCCTTCTTTTTCTCTCCTCCACTAACGAGGGAAACCCATGAAGAAGAAAGAACTAGAGCTTGCTTTGCTCTTAGAGCATCTCCACCCACAAGGGCTAAGTCTAAGGCAAGGGCAAGCAAGGGCTGCCACTATTCACGTGAATAGTGTCAGCCTTTGCATTTGTGGTTCCACCCATGAGGGCAAAGTCTAGGGCAAGTCTAAGGCAATTACTATTCATTGTACTTTATTTCCTATTTGTTTATACTTTAAACTATTAATTTTGATAAGCTTTTTAGATTATATTTTTGGTTGTCACGTGTCACTATTTATTATAAAATTTTCATTTAAAATTTAAGATAACATTTTTCGAATAAAATTTTCAAATAAAATTTTTGGATAAAATTTTTCGAATAACATTTTTGGTTTTGCCTTGACTAATCTATTAAAAAAAAAGAAATTGGAAATGCAAGAAATATATATATATAAAAAGACATTAAATTGAATATTTTTTTTTGATTTTGATGTGGAAAGTGAAAAATATTGGAAGGAGATGAGTTTTTATGAAGATTTGGTGTAGAAAGTGAATAAAATGGTTAGGTATTTATAGGGAAAAAATACAGAATTTTTTGGTATTTAAAAAAAAAAAATCAGAATTTTTCAGAATTTTTTTCGAATTTTTTTGGCCAAAAAAAAAAAATCTGTTTTACTGTGCGCTGACGTCAGCCAACTCGGGCTTCAGCCCGGGCAAGACTTGCCCTTGGGCTTGCTCGGGCACGTGGGACCCACCACCAAACCGGGCTACGGGCCCTGCGCTGGAGCTGCCTCGGGCTCCCTCTGGCAGCCTTTCCCCCGGGCTGGGCTTTGCGCTGGAGATGCTCTTATGGGAAGGCCTTACTGGGTTGATTTCTAAGATATGTTTGGGCTTTACTAAATAAAGATATTCAAATTATCCGTTACTTTTGACTTACGGCTTTGAGTTAGCCGTAGTGTCAGTTTAGTATTGTTGTACTTCAAAAAAAAGTTGTTTATCTTGAGAATAATCAACTTTGAAATAAACAACATTGTCAAGTGTGTGGTAAACTTTTATGTAGAATTATTGTGATTGTGTATAATATCCAAAAAAAGCATGATGTTAAAAGTGTTATTAACTTATTTGAGTGGCAAGAAGAAAACTAATTTTTAGTACATATTACATATAGATATATATGTATATATATATTGAAATTATCAAAGAGAATTTGAAAAAACCAATTAATATCATTAACATCAACAAAGCATAGCCTAGAAGCACGCCTGCAAATCCACAATTTCGGAAGACCTTAGGTCTGGCTCGGAAGAATTTTTGTCCTAATGACTTTTAGTGAAGTAGTATACTATAAAACATACGGCTCATATACGGTTGTTTTTCTTTTTCTTGTCTTTTTTGTTTCTGTTTTTTTATTCTTTGGCATATTCCCATTACATCCAATCAATCAATCTTATAACTCTTTAAAAATATTATAAGGAAAAGTAAATTTCCACAAACCCCCAACGACGTTTCCACCTCATAACCCTCCCTCTCATGAGCATATATGATGTGACACTTACACCCTTGGAGATGCTCACCAACAATAATCATCAGTGACATACATAATAGTTGTGAAAATATTTGACATCGAAAATTTGCCCTATGCATAATTTAATGCAATAATTTATGTGTTATAAGATTGATTGATTGGATATAATGAAAATTTGCCAGAAAATCAAAAGAAAAAATACAGAACCTTTAAATTCTAATCAATAATTATTGATTGATGCGTATCGAGTACTGCTATTTTCATCCATGTCATATTTTCTAACTCATCTTATATTCAAAATGTTAAAGATAAATTTATCTATGTGTAAAATGATTTCTAAGAACTTAGAGAAAAAACCACAACTGGCCATTAGTAAAAAAACAACTAACTAAGCAAAAATCGCCAGATTAATCATATACAAAATACAATACTTGGCAATTGACATAATGCATCATCAAATCAACTATCTGACATTAAAACAAGAAATACCAAATAACTCAAATCAAAATTTGACCAAACAAATCAAAAATCAAAAGCCAGCAACCAAATTATTAAAAAAAAGGTAGTGTAGTATACTATAAAACATACGATGCATATACTATTTAACCAATCTAATAACACATCACAACCAGCAGCTAAATGACATTGAGAGGATGGAAAACCATACCTGGATCGCAAGATTTGGTCGCCGAAAACGTCCGAACTAGCTTCTCAAAAATCTCTCAAAAATCGCTCGGATTTCTACAACTTTCAGCCAGCACCGGTGGTTCTAGCAGCTGAAGTTGGTCGGGATGGCAAGAGGGAGGTGGCCCAATTCTTTTGGGACCTGTGCCACCCAAAACATTGGCCGGATGCGACGGTGGTGGCCCAAAAAGCCACTGGATGAATAGTAACTGCCACGAGGGGCTGCTGTGCGCACCAGAGGAGAGAGAGAGAGAGAGAGAGAGAGAGTTTTCTGTTTTTATAAAAATCCCATTTCGAAATAATTACGATTGTGCCCTGAGGTTCTTTTGATCGTAACTTCTTTGTTACAACTCCAAATCGAGCCCACTACGTGTCCACGGACTCATCTCGTCGTGCTCTACGCAACGGTATAGTCGAAATTTCCAAATTCCTTCCCGGTCAAAAAGTCAACTTTAATCCTAATAAAATATTCTAAGAGCAAAATGGTCATTTATTTAAATAAATTAATATTTACCAATTTATTTAGGACTGGGTCGTTATATAAGTGCCGGGGCGGCAGCCTTTAGTAATCTCATAAGGACCTTCCCATGTAGGACCCAAAGTACGTTCAGTAGGGTTTTTGGTGGTCAAGGAAACCTTGTGCATGACGCAGTCCCTAATCCTGAAAGCACGTAGTTTGACTTGGGATTCGTAGTACTTGGCGATACACTGTTTGTAGGCAACGTCGCGCATGTTGGATTGGTCACGAAGCTCGTCAATGAAGTCTAGGTTCAGGGCTAACTGCTGGTCATTGGCTTCAGAATCGTAAGTGGAGGTTCGATATGTGGGCTGGCCAATCTCCACTGGTGCTACAGCTTTGGTACCAAAGGAAAGAGAGAAAGGCGTTTCCCCTGTGGAGGTACGGAAGATGGTGCAATAGGACCAGAGAACCTTTGGGAGTAACTTTGGCCAGCAACCCTTGGCTTTGTCAAGTTTGGTCTTCAAAATCTTCTTGATGATTTTGTTCACAGCTTCAACATGGCCATTGGATTGAGGATGGGCTGGGGGGGCGAAGCAAAGATGTATCTTTAGGCCGACCGTTGTCTATGACAATGGTGTTGGGGATGCCGAAGCTACGTACGATATTCTGCCAAACGAATGTTTCGATGCGAGCTGCAGTGATGGTGGCTAAGGCTTCAACTTCAGCCCACTTGGTGAAGTAATCTACAGCAACAATCGTGTACTTGACCTGGCCCTTACCCTCAGGTATAGGTCCGATGAGGTCAAGTCCCCATTGAGCAAATGGCCAAGGACTGACCATGGCGGTCAATGGTTCAGCTAGAAGTTGTGAGATGTTGGCAAATCGTTAGCATTTGTCACACGTTTGGGTGAAGGCCTGGGCATCAGTGTGAAGTGAGGGACAGAAGTATCCTTGCCGAATGGCCTTATGTGCTAGTGAGCGGATGCCTGAATGATTGCTGCAGATGCCCTCATGAATCTCCCGAATGATATAATTACCTTCTTCTGGAGTTAGACACCGAAGGTAGGGGAGGCTGAAGCCACGTTTGTATAAATTGTCATTGATTATTAGGTATCGAGCGGTGCGATAGCGAACACGTAGTGCTTCAGCTGAATTAGCAAGTAGTGTCTGGTTCTACAAGAATTGAAGGATAGGGTCCATCCATGTAAAGTTGTGATCAATGGTACAGATGAGTGGTGCTTGTGTGCTCGGCCGGTCTAGGAGTTCGATGTGGATGTTGCGGCATATGCCCTGTTCCAAGGTCGAGGCTAGCATGGCCAATGCATCAGTATGTTGGAGATATGTCGTCTTTGAGGTGTCCTTGGCTGTGAAATCCTGGTTTACTTAATGAACAACGAGCTGTATGTCCCTAAATATCTAAAGTTGTTTAGCACTCATCTCTTTGGTTAGCCAAAGGCCAGTTAAGAGTGCTTCGTACTCAGCGACATTGTTGGAGGTGTGGAACAAGGCTGGCTCCACATCCCTGGGCGTCGGAGGAGCCATCCACATATAAGGTCCACAAGGGATGGGTTAGGTCGAGGGTGTTGTTGCTGGCGAAGTGGACCAAGTTTGAGGGAAGAGTGGAGTTGGTTATGATCTGGGGAACGGCCAAAACTTGGGGTTCCGTAAGTTCGGAGATAAAGTTTGCAACAGCCTGTCCCTTTGTAACTGGGCGGGGTTTATAATGGACATCAAACTCACTAAGCTCAATGGCCCACTTAATCAACCTACCAAAAGTCTCTAGTTTCTACAATACCTCATTGAGCTTGGAAGTATGGTCTGAGGCATCTAGCCGAAACTACTAGGGCGAAGGCCAACTTTTCGATAAGTGGGTACCGAACCTCGGCATCTTGAAATGTCTTGCTAACATAGTGCATTGGGTGTTCAGCACCTTTATATGGTCGGATGAGCACTGAGCTAACTGTCGTGGTCGAGACATAAAGGTAAATCGTGAGGATGTCTCCAGGCTCAGGTGTTGACAATAAAAGGGTCCAGCTCATATACTCCTTGAGCTCGCTGAAAGCCTTGTCACATTCGGCAGTCCATGTGATGCTTCGCTTATTGCCCTTAAGGGCCTTGAAGAATGGGGCATAGCGATCAATAGCCTTGGAGATAAACCTGATCAAGGTCGCAACGCTCCTGGTAAGGCTATGGATGTCCTTGATCGTCTTGGGTATCTTCATGTCTAAAATGGCTTGAATTTTTTCTGGATTGGCTTCAATACCCCGCTGGCTGATCATGAAGCCTAGGAATTTTCTCGAAGCTACGCCGAAGGCACACTTCGTGGGGTTAAGTCTCATTTTATACTACTTTAGGATGGTCAACATGGCAAATAGGTTAGAGATGTGATGGTCAGCAGTGCGACTTTTGACTAACATGTCATCGACATAAACCTCCATAGTGTTGCCAATCAGTGGGGCAAAGAGGTTGTTCACCAAACGCTGATACGTAGCACTGGCGTTCTTGAGATCGAAGGGCAGCACTTTATAGCAATAGAGGCCACAGTCGATAATGAAGGATGTATGGGCTTGGTCATCATGGTGCATGGAGATCTGGTTGTACCCAAATTAAGCATCCATGAAGCTAAGAATATGGTGTGTGCAATTTACAGATAGAATGTCAATTGCATGGATGAACTGCCAAAGTACATGCAAATATTCTACCATATGCTTTTGAATGTTTTCAATGAAATTGAGGAGGAGATGGTGAAGGAAGGAAGAGCATACAGAGCTTACTATGCAAAAGAAGCAGTATGTAATAATTAACTAATGAAACATGCAGCTTAATTTACTTTTCACTTTTTTAATTAATTTACGTATTATTTATGTCCCATATATGCAGTGGAAAAATGCAGCCAAAGCTTACTTTGATGAGGCCAAATGGTTCCACGAAGGATACATCCCCAGCATGGAGGAATATATGCGTGTTGCTACAGCATCTGCTTGTAGAACCATACTTACAACTATATCTTTACTTGGCATGGGAGACATTGTAACCAAGGAGTCCTTTGAGTGGTTGTTGAATGACCCTAAAATTCTTAGAGCTTCCAATACCATTGGTAGGCCCATGGATGACATTGTTTCGAGCAAGGTACAAAAGTAGCTATTGTAGTTCACTATTACATGATTCTCACTTTAATTAGTCTCAGAATTCAATTCTTAAATTTTATAGTCCTCACACGAATTCAGTAATTTTTGGAAAATTTAATGACTGTGAATGGATTCTAATACACGACCTTTTAATGGATTCTAATTTTCCATCAACGATAGGTTGTGTATGTTAAACTTTTTTTTTTAAGTACAAGCGATAGTTTAAACTCACACACACAACTAAGATGTCATTGAGATTTGAACCTGAGACCTCTAGTTTGCAAATCAATTGTCATTTTCCACTGAGTTAGACCCCATTGGCGTGTATATTAAACTTAAGTGAAAAGGATATGTGTATGTTAAACTTGTGTGTGGATTCTAATTACTCTTTTCAATGACTTCATCTAATTGTTTCCATATCATTTGTGAGTTATAAAGAGAGTTTGAGTCTTCCATTTGTTGGACAGAATTCAACACAAACATTAGTTCATCCGGACCTTATGATTTAGACCGCTATTATAGTAGCCATGTTATGTGATCATTGTTCCTTATTAGACAACAATGAACACCATAGCCGCGTAAGTTATCTTAAAGAACATAATGTCTAACGTTTTCCTTAAACCGATTTAAGATTTTTCTAACTCATATTCTATGTTTATTAAGCATTATTTTCGCTCATCGGTAGGCACTAAGTTTGTTATTGCATTACATTGATTATTTGTGAATTTTCTACAAATATAACAATTACACCCTGTTTTCTTTCAACAGGGCTGCAATAGATAACCACCACAATTTTCCAACAGGGACAGAGATCATGGACCTCACGGGCTTACCAGAATATGAGGACTGGACAAGAAATGGGCTGAGGGTCTGATTGTGGAATGAGTTTTCATCAATTATCATGAGCTATGGAAGTTAAAAATGGATAACAAATACACATATATACAACTCTGACAAAGAAACAAAAAATAAAATAAAAATTCTTTGTGACAAGAAGAACAGAAACAAAAAGCCCTGGATCACAAGTACACATATATACAACTCTGACAAAGAAACAAAAGAACAGATAAACAGAATATGTATAAAGAACAGCCGTAACAAGCTTGGTGGTATGTGATCCTTTTCTCTATCGGCTTATAAATGTCAGCCTTTCTAAGTATTAACAATAACCAAAACAACGTCATTGAAAATATAAAATGGCTGATACCATAGCGCTCATCACTGAACTAAAGCAAAGGGATGTGTGTTCCCACCATGAATCTATCAAGGAAAGGGAAAAAAAGAACCGAAGTGGTTATTTCTACTGCTACCTCTGTATCTTTATTTTATATACTCAATGCCAGGCAGAAGCTGATATCAAGTTCCTGTCCTTCCATCCCAACAGCATAGCCCCGTCCCTCTCCACCAGCGTGTAATGCTCCGAATAACACCTCAGCAGACTCCTTATGACAGAGTTGACATATGAGCTCAATGGGTATTGCTGAAACCCTGCCATTGTCAACCTGGACTTCCACTTGCCAAAGAGCTCATGGCGTTCCACCCTTTCCTTTCCCTCGCAAGCAATGACGTTCACCATATCTCTTGCCAGACAATGCTGCTCCACGTTGATCCTCTCCTTGTTGTTCCTTGGCAGGGTCACGTCAATAGACTCAAACATTGCCAAGTAGTATTCTAGAGCTTCCACAAACCTATTGAAGAAAGGGGTTGTGTTTGTGTTTGACTCTTGCTCCACCAAAGTGGTCACTTTTGGAGATAGTGACTTTACCATTCTCAACAGCCCATCCCTCGGATTGTTCTCATCAACACTCTCATCTGGTGTGTGATGAAGCTGCAGGGGAAAGTTCACAGCAAGAGCCTCTCCATGCCTGACATCAAGCATGTCCTGTGTGACATCAGGTGCAAAAACTGGCAGTCCATGAAATTCAACTGGGATGTTAAATTTCTCAGAGATAGCTTTCAGCCGTCTCCCAACTGCCTCCAATCCATCACCACGGGCATATAGAGAAAGAGGATCATCAATACCTGTAATCCGTACATGGGGTGCCCCACCGGGTCTTGCTGCAAGTGCTTGAAGGAGAGTCACCCACTGGGTTCCCTGAGCAATCTGGAAGTCTATAATGTGGATGCGGTCCTCATTTCTGCAGGCTTCAGCAATGGCCCCATTGGCTGCCATGTAACCAAACTTTAAATAGGGGCAGATCTCATACAGAATCTGCATGTATGAGAGCAAATCATCGCTTTCAGGCTCTCTACACCTCCGGGCACGGTAAATATTGGCACCCGATGCCTCCTTCCTTGCTACCAGCCCTTCTACCAAGTAAGCTCCAAGTCGCTGGATTGGTTCTCCACTGACAGACACAGCCCCTCTAGCCTTTTCAATCAACTTATCAAAACTATCAATGTTGTTGTCAGAGAGAGCTCCAGCACATGCAATCAGCAATTCCTTCAGATTATCTGCTGGTAAACCCTTTAGAGACCCTTCATCTATTACTTTGTGACGTTTCTCAATCTGAAATTCACACAACTGCCTTTGCCTAGAGACAAAAGATGTCTGACGTTGAACTACAGGTGAACCCTGGTGCTCCTGGATCTCCTGGATCCATGAAGTGGACCTCTGTGTCTGCTGCTTGCTACTTTCTCCAAAAGAAGTGTTCGGTGTGGTGACTTCTTCTTCTTCATTGTCAGGCCCCATTAAAGTACTCTCCAGTTCCTGCAAAGCGTGTTTTATATTCTGGCTAGAATTTGCATCCTGTAATAAAGAAGACCTGCCAGAATAGAGCTGCAGACTGTCTCGACGACAGTCCACAGAAGGACTGAAGCTTAATTGATGAATGTAACTGTTTGTTTCAAATGAAGAGTTACAGGAAGGGCTAGCTCCTGAGAGATTCTCTGTGGAGCTGTGCTGCTCCTGACCGTCACTCAGTGTAGTAAGGGTATCAGAATCAAAGTGAGTAGAAAAGGGTGAATTTGGTGAATTCCCTATATCAAATTTCAGTGACCCCAGTAACCTTGTAGGTAAAGATGGAACAGTGGAATGTGGAGCTGTATATGAAAATCCTGCACCAGTCACACCAAATCCAAAATGTTGGTGCGAGTCCATGCTATGAGATTGGCATCAGCTATTCCATGCGACAAGAAATCCGATGGTATAATTATCAACTATAATAGGATCAGCCTCAGTGCTTTTCCCAGAAACAACTGTTGGCAGCTTTGCAATCTTCTAATAGGAATCAAAGTTCTGAACTTGCAAGATAACAAAATCAACCTGCAATATTGACACAGAAAAAATCCCATTAACAAGAGATTCTGAGGGGAAAACTTTCATATACCCAAACCTTGTGAAGCAGAAATTATCACCAAATCACAAACTCTCTTGTCTAAATTTTTTCTCAAGTAAATAAACATACAAAACAGAGACTTTTTTTTACATTTTTAACTCTTTAAGTGATTTTTATTACGCCAGAAATCATACCTGGAATGTCTTTTATGGCATGGAATATTGCTTCTGCAGGTCATATGATCATATCTATGCTAAGAATTCCCGGCTTTCCTAATTCCTAACACTTTTTCAAAACACATGGCAACATGACCACCTACCCCATGACAAAAAATCCCTCAAAGAAGCAGGGAAAGGCCTCTAGTTTTCCAAAAGCACCACTAGTCCTTCTATGGATTGGTTAGTTCACTAACAAATACCTACAGTGGAATTCTTTCTTTGTTTTTTCTTTTTTTTTGGAAAGAGACAACTATAATGGATAGATAAAGGATAGGTATCAATAGATGGAGATTGAACCCTAGGGCCAGACAATGAATCAACCTCATAAATCGACCAAATACAAGAACAGTATGACCCCCAGTACAAAAGAAAGCAACAAAAAGCAAACAAGAAAACAGTATTGCATTAAAATGGAGAACACAGTTCCAGAAATAACAAAACTATGTGAATCTATACAATTTATATGGTAATCCACACAAATGAATTAGAAAGATGAAAAAAAAAACCAAAGAATTAACTTCCGAGTGGGTAAATTAGAAGTTTTTTTTTTTTTATTTGGAACCAAAACCTTAAACCATACCCAGTTGAACTGATTTTGCAAAACCAATACTTCGAATCACAAAACGGTCCAAAGTCACGCTCTGTTTTTGCTTTCTGAGAAGGAGATAGAAAACAGATGAAAACACAAAAAAACCCAAGATTTTCCTCACTCAGTCAAGCCCAATACCAGCTACCCGCTCCGATTTTTCCATTTCCCAAAACCCCAAATACACAAACAACACAAAAGCTCATAAGAATTCAGTTTCCACCCAACTTTCCTTTCACCTCAACTTTCTCAGCTACCAAACAAATCATGCTGCAAAACCAATCAATTCAAACACACACCAACATATATATATATATATATATGATATGAACAACTAATTTATATGAATAAATACCTTTGTCTTCTCTTTCTTTCTTCTGGGTATCTTTGGTCTTTGGTTTGGACTTCAAGTTCTGGTTGTGGGTAAGCTCCGGTTGGGTCCAAGACCCTGTCTTTTCAAGTTGTGGCAGCTCTGAATTTGCTGAGTTTTCGAAAGAAGAAAGGGAGGCTAGGCTTGGAAGGTATATATAGGAAAAAGAGAGAGAGAGAGAGAGAGAGAGAGAGAGAGAGGGTTTTGACGGCAACTTTGTACGGAAGTAACAGTAAAAATGCAACTTTGCACGTTTGGATATGATCAGAGACCGAGAGGGTTTATATTTTAAGTTATAGGGTGACCTGTTGCGCCGACCACAAGCTCCAGTCATCGAACAACACAGAACATTCCTCGCTCTTTCTCTTCGTTTTTCTCCTTCGCTTGGGTTTTTGAGTTCTCCTTCTCTTCTCCTCTTTCTCTTCTCTTTCTCCTTCGCTTTGGATTTTTGGGTTTGTTGAAAGTCGTGGTGGAGATGCCAGTACGCGCTTGTTATCAGGAAGTGAGACAGAAAAAAAAATTTTTTTTTTTTTTTTTTTTTTTTTTTGGGACTTTGGCTGGCCTTCTGTCACATCGTCTTCTAGTGTGAGAAGGTAAATCTAAGCGAATTTTCTTGAGAAGGAAGGTTTAAGATTTAATTAGGATCATGAGAGTTAAAACATGTCTAAACAAATTAAAATTATTATTATTATTTCTTCTACCTTGGACCATGGGTTGGAACTTGGAACCAATCTTTGAGCCTTAATAAGTGGACCTGAGTTTGACTTCGAAATACTTTGTCAAACTTCTTGACTTTGTTCACGAACTTTTGTTCTTTTAAACTCTCTATTAACTCAAAATTCAGCTTTTATAACCGAGTGTTTGTCAAGTCAACATAAACGAGTTTATGAACTCTAATTTTTTATTTTTGACAAATCCAAGAGATACTGTATTTATGAATCACGCCACAAAGGCAATATAAATACAATAACTACAAAGTATTCACAAAGAGTTATAACCAATATGGAGGGATTTAATAGCAACATCAAACTCATACGGTATACCTCCACTCAAAGCCATATAGGACCAAAAACAGTTCATCATATATATATGAGAATGTGTTTAATGCATGTCGTATTAATTTTATAAGAAGTCATCAATTGATATATGACGATGACACGAAGAAAAGAAAAGCGAATCTTCACATAGAACCCAATTAAACAGTAATTCTAAATCTCATTTTGAAACATTTATTAGACTAAAGTACTTGACGGTGAAAGCGAGTTTAGTTAGCTTCTATTATCAAGTGGTGAGCAGCTGATATATAAGTTACTTAATCTCAACCGTCGATCAGTATGCTATTTCTTAACATCCAAGTTGTTGGCACATGTGTGCAACTGTAAAATTCCAATCAACGACATGAATAATCCAACCGTGTTTGACCGATGACGATCACGTGACATAAAGCGTGACGAGTTTAATTAAAACTTAAATTAGTAAATAATTAATTAATGAAGTGTCAAACAAAGGAGGTCGAAAAGAGCCCACGCCAGCAGTGACACTAATGAAGCATACGCGCTACAACGAGGAATTTATAAGTTTCTTTATTCTTTCCTTTGACTCTTTGACCTGACGTGGCATCCACTTCTTTCCTTGTCATAAAGACCAAAAGGCAAGTCTTCTATGTTCTCTTTTATGATTTATCCCACATACCCCGCTGTCTCCTTTTTTTTCCCGATGTATTAAGGGATGTTTACCATTAAATAGACTTTAAAAACACACTTAAAGTTCATTTACAATATAATAAATATATTTTTAAATTTTTATAAATTACAAAATTGTCATTTCTTAAAACAAGTCCAACCTCAAAACATCATTATAAAAAAAAACCCAAAACACTCAATAAGACATCAAAGTAATTTAATAATTAAAATTAAATTCAATGCTATTTTTTGGGTCTTTTTTGTTTGTTTATAGAGAATTAAATGGCGTATGATTTATTTATATTATTAGTATTAAGAATGAGTATATGACTAAATATCTCATATATTAACTACTTTCATCAGAAGTATTTATTTTCAAGGCCATCTTTCAAAGATTACTTATGAAAAAAAAAATTCAATTAAATTGAAAATTATTTAATCACTTTACCAGTTGTGTAATTATTCAGTTTTTAATAGAAACACGAGTTCGTTGGTTAAATATTTAAAAACTCAACAAATATTCTTTACTTAAATCAACTAAACCTGAAAATTAAAATAAACACACGTAGTGCACATTTCACCTAACTCTAGAGTTCTAAACACTAGCATTCATAAAAAAGGAAGAAGAAAATAAAAACACGGACCAAGAGGCTAGTAACAGTCGAACAAGGTAATTTTTGATGTGATTGATTTTTTACGAAGACAATGTTTAAAACCGCGTATATGACCGAAAAATGCAAATATTCATATGAAAAGTGCATTAACCATGATTTATAAGTGAAATCATATTCAATAATCAAACTACATATGATAACGAATGTTAGGTACGACATACAATGAACCGGAGGGGAAAAAGGCCACAATCATATCTGACAAAATCATAGCAGTCTTATCCTTCAAAATTCTGCAATCATATATTTTTCGAAAGAAAAGCAAATACCTTTGTTTTGGCTTTATCCCAACGAAATCAAATCTACTTATCTCACTTTCATTTTGGCCTTAATGATTTGCCTTTTTGCGTCACCAACGTTTAAATGGTTATAAAGGAATTGGAAGCAAAGATTGATAAGCTAAAACAGCAGCACTTTAGCAATGTTTCACATTTCTATTCTATGTGATCAACTTGCGCGCAATTTTTATGGACTTTCTTCATTCACACCACATCTACATTATATTGTCGAGGATGTAAAAGCAAGTGTCAAAAGCTAAGATAAGAATGACATTAGTCATGCATCTGGCACTATAGAAAAATTTATTTGTATCATCGAACCAATTTACATATGTGCATCACTGGTTTAAAGATCATAATTGCTTTTAATTAAGAATAAGTTATAAGATATATCATTAGTTAAGATGATTCGTAGAATCATTTTAGCGGCAGCCAAACTCTAAGGGGTACTCACCGAGAAAGAAATATAAGAAAGCTAAATCAATGACAAATTAAAGGATAAACTAGATTGATGTAAATACTTGTAAATGGGTCGGAGATGGATCGAATCACCCTATATCTTATCTGATCTAATAATAAAAAAATTTCAACTCCATCCGACCCGATAATCCAACGGATCGTTCATAACTAGAACCATATCCGGTTTGTTGGATTATTGGATATCGAATCAAATAATCCAATTCGAATTCCTATATCCTAAGAAGTTGAAAAAAAAATCTTATTATTTACACACAAAATCACAATATTGTTAAATGTACATACATATTTAGTAAGTAAAAATAAAATAATATATTATATCAAATCGGTGTAGATCATTATCGGATTGGATTATATCAAATCTATATTTGTTCTGTTAATTGAACGAGTTAATAAATTCAAAACATAATCGGATTATCGAATTCTGCCACAAGATCCATCTCATATTAATTAATTACATCGAATGCAGATCAGATCTCAATCAAATACTCGGTCCATTGACAACTCTATATTTGGTTGTATCCCAAACCCTAAGAGCAA